GTCCACGTCGAGCACCTCCGCGTGCAGCGTCTCGTCTATCGCCGACAGGTACTGGCGCATCTTGAACGACCAGTTATTCCACTCCTTGGCGTCGCCTGTGAAGATCTCGGGCTTGTTGCCCACTCGCAGGTCCACCAACGAGATCGGCGCGCCCGCTCGCGCTTCTCCTGCTGGCTGCTGAGCTGCTGCGCCGTTGCCTGCTGCCCGCACCGCCGCCAGCTCGTTCTGCGCCGCCGTGAGCTGCCCCTGCTGCGTCTCGATCACCGTGCGCTGCTGCCGCTGTTGCTCTTCAAGCTGAGCCAGCCTCTGCGTGAGCGCCTCCATCGCTCTCTATCGTGTCCACGATCTGTCTATCGTGTTCACCCCGCTCTCTATCGTGTCGACCACGACCTCTATCGTGTTCACCAACACGCTCTCTATCGTGTCAACCACGACTCGTCTATCGTGTTCACCAACGCGCTCTCTATCGTGTCAACCACGGCTCCAGGCTACCATGCGCGGAGTGGGCGTCAGCCGAACGGACTGTGATATCCTTTTGACTTGAGCCAAAGCGTCGACGACAGATCTCCAGTCCTGATGCTGCTAAGCTGCTGCAGCTGCTCGTGCTGCTGTACACTACGCTGCACAAGCCCCTCTGCTACAGATGACCCTACAGCTCACTACAACATCGTACTACCATGCAGGACCCTAATGTGTCAGCTAGGTTTGGACTACATTGCCCCTGACACCCCAGAAACCGCCGCAATATATATATATATATATATATATATACACGACCCCTGCCTCAGGAAGTGCCGTGAACGCCCAGAAACCGTCCGAGACCCCAACGCATGCCGAGCGTAAACAAAGCGCAAACAGGCCCATGGAAAGCTCACACAGCTCGCACCAATGATCATACAGGCACAAACGTTGAGGGATGAAAAAACGGCCCTACCCTGGGTTACAAGTGCGCGGTCTGTAAACCTCCTGGGAACCCTCAAAGCCTAGAGCCGCCAGGACGCGGCACATCACGCAAGGGTTTACCCTGTCAGCCCACGAGAGTTTCAGCGCAAAGCGCCTCGTAAACCAGGGTAGGGGCGTTTTTTCCTGCCCTTGAAAACAACGCTCAAACAAAGCTTTGCACACCTTCAAACACAGGCCAAACAAAATGATAGAAAGTTCGCAGAACTTCCAACACGTATGTAGATTTACACACCTACACACCAATCGTATATGTTCGAACTCACGCAAACCTGAATCAATGCTGAGGCACAGCTAATATCACAGCTTGTTTCAGGCTCTTTCTCCAATGTCTGAAACGAACACCTGAACAGATTCCTTGTCCAGCAAAAAAACAGACGGGAGCGAGAACCTTTTCAAGATCCCTCACCCGCGGCTGGAGCAAGAACCCTTCCAAGTTCCATGTCCAACAAATCGAGTTCGAGATCGAAAAATTCAAGTTCACGCCCCCGCGGCCAGAGCGAGAGCCTTTCTAAGTTCCCTCTCGAACCAATGGAAACGAGTGAGCGAACCTTGCCCGGTTCCAAATTGCGCGATTCCAGCAAAAATACCCTCTAGATTCCATGAGAACCAAAAAAACAGGTGGCAGCAGGAACCTTTTCAAGTTCCGTGTCCAACGGCTGGAATGAGAACCTTTTCATGTTCCCTCTCCAACGAAAAGCAACAGAGCAAAAGCAGTTTCGAGTTCATGCTCCCGCAGCTGGAGCCCCAACCTTTTTCAAGTTCGCTCTCTAACCAATCGCATACGAAAAAAACGAGAGAGAGAGAGAGAGCAAAAAAAAACAAAAACGACCGAAAGTCGAGAACCTTTTCGAATTCCATTTCAAACATGCGTGCTACCGAGTGCCGGGAAATCGAACGATGAGTACGATGTATCGGGCGCCGACGTCCCAAAGTCTGAGAACCAGCTGAAGTACCAAGCTAGACTTGGCCATGGATACCACCGCAGCTCTTCAGAGAAAGTCAAGTGCGCGCTCGGTCTGTCGTGCGCCGGCGGGTAGCGCCCGCTGGTGGAACAGGTTGCGTCCTCGGCAAGGTCTTCGCCCTGCAGGGAAGGTCTGGAGGTCGTCGTCGTCGTCGTCGGCCCCCCCCATCTCATCCGGGGGGGTGGGCGACCGTGGAGCCTGGGGACCCATCCCATCCGGTAGTGGGGGGCCGTGGGCCTGGAGCCCAGAAACAGATAGATATCCAAATACAGGGGGCGGAAGGCCGAAAAAGACTCCCCGATTACATATCCCTGGAGCGTCCTGGGACCTCCTGGGGCCTCCGCAAGTAGCGGCAAGACTGCTCTGACAGATTCCCCTGTGCTGCTGAATTACGAGGAAGAGTCAAGCGAAACAGCCGTTCTGGCATCCGCGTGCAGCAGCGAGAATGCTCTGAAGGGCCCCCATGTCGTGCTGAATTGCGAAGATGCCTCAAGCGAAAAGGCCGTTCTGGCATCCGAGATATCCGAAGAGACTCCGAAAGGCATCCAAGAGGCCTCTGGCCTTTCTGGTCGCCCTCCTCCTCCTCCTCCTCCTCCTCCTCCTCCACTTCCACTTCCTCCTCCTCCTCCTCCTCCTCCTCCTCCTCCTCCTCCTCCTCCTCCTCCTCCTCCTCCTCCTCCTCCTCCTCCTCCTCCACCTCCTCCTCCTTCACCTCTTGCTCATAGGATGAGAGCAAGACTGGAAAAAAAGACAGAATGTGCGAGGCGGGGGTATGTCCGTATCCACCGCCTGGGAACCGACGCGCTGGTGCCCCAGCGGGCGGCGGATATGGATATATTTCAGCCCCTGGGGCCCGAATGTGTCCATATCCACCGCGACGCTCCGAAAACTGACCCTCCAGGCGGTGGTCACGAAACGTGTGAGGGGTGTGCCGAATTGGGTGTGGGTGACGCATGCGGGCGGCAGCACTGGGGCTTTCGGCGGAGCTCCAATGGGGCCACGAAACGTGTGTGGGGTGTGCCGAATTTGGTGGGTGACGCATGCGGGCGGCAGCACTGGGGCCTTCGGCGGAGCTCATATGGGGCCACGAAACGTGTGAAGGGTGTGCCGAATTGGGTGTGGGTGACGCGTGCGGGCGGCAGCACTGGGGCCTTCGGCGGAGCTCATATGGGGCCACGAAACGTGTGAGGGGTGTGCCGAATTAGGTGGGGGTGACGCATGCGGGCGGCAGCACTGGGGCCTTCGGCGGAGCTCCTATGGTGCCACGAAACGTGTAAGGGGTGTGCCGAAATGGGTGTGCGGGACGCATGCGGGCGGCAACACTGGGGCTTTCGGCGGAGCTCCTATGGGGCCACGAAACGTGTGACGGGTGTGCCGAATTGGGTGTGGGTGACGCATGCGGGCGGCAGCACTGGAGCCTTCGGCGGAGCTCCTATGGGGCCACGAAACGTGTGAGGGGTGTGCCGAATTGGGTGTGGGTGGCGCATGCGGGCGGCAGCACTGGGGCCTTCGGCTGAGCTCATATGGGGCCACGAAACGTGTGAGGGGTGTGCCGAATCAGGTGTGGGTGACGTAAATTCCCGCCTCGGATAATGACAATGTAGCGGCGACGGCAGAGCAGCAGCAGCAGCAACATGTCAGTGAAACACATGCATACCCCTGGCTGGGACTCTGTCCTCAGCTACATTCCTCCTCCTACTCCTCCTACTCCTCCTCCGATTCCTCCTCCATCCTCCCCCTCTTGGAGGACGACGTCTTACCCAGCCCTTTATTCCACTACATGCTCCTCCAGATCCCTGATTAGGGCAACTCCTCAGGGCCCCGATTCTGGATGGGATGGTAGGGTTACTTTTTATGTCAGCGGCCGCAGGCGAGCGCGCCAGCGGCGAGTCCAGTCAAAGCGGGGCACGCAGCGACAAATTCACCTAAAGCAACGGGGCGCAGCCTCACCTAAAGCGGCTAGGCGGAGCCTCACGCAGCACCTCAGCGGCGGACCGTCGAGTGGAGGGGGCTGGATGAATCATAATCGTACTGCCAGCGTGCAAATATGCAAGGCGTCGGAAGCGTCAGGTAACCGGAACAAAGGCGACCAGGGACAGAAGCCGAGTAATGAATGCAAGGGCGCAAGACCCCGGACGACTGCGAGAGTACCAGGGTGGCCGCAGCCAAGAGGATCGACAGTCGGAAGTCGAATTGGTGCCCGGTGTGAGTTACTTTTTTGATTCGCGGCCCGCAAGGAGAAGTCCAGAGGGCGGTATGACCGAGGCTGGGGCACAGCGACAGATAATTGGCGCGACACCGCGCAGAGTGCACCTGCAGATAATTAGAAAGAGGCGGCCAAGGTTCAGCCCGCGGGTGGGGGCGAACCGAACGCGAGCCCAAAAAGCCGCTGAGCGTGTGTCAGCAGAAGAGGGCAACCGCGATGGGACAGCCGCAGCCCTGCTGCCAGCACGCGGACCCCAAAAGCCGCTGAGCGTGTGCCAGCAGAGGGGGGCCGGGTGCAGTTGGAACTAGGTCGGACCCGCAGGTGGAGTACCGACTGCCAGGGAGGCGCGAGACGTGAAGGGCAGCACAACCTAAGGGGAAGCGTGCCGGATCCACTCACTTGACACCCAGCGCGCGAGCGCCAGCGTGTACGCGGGCCACACACAAGCCACCGAGGACGGTCGGGCCAGAGCATACTTCACCAATGGCAGATGACGCAAATACGCAAGGCGTCGGAAGCGTCAGGTAACCGAAAGAAAGGCGACCAGGGACAGAAGCCGAGTAATTAATGCAAGGGCGCAAGACCCCGGACGACTGCGAGAGTACCAGGGTGGCCGCAGCCAAAAGGACCGACAGTCGGAAGTCGAATTGGTGCCTGGTGTGGGCGTGAGTTGGGATGGTAGAGTTACTACTTTTTTTACAGCCGCAAGCGGAAGCGCCGGCGGCGGCGGGTCACGGTCGGGTTGCGGCCGAGACGAATTAGCCGGGCGCGCGCGGGGGCCGCGGATCAGGCAGCGGTGCAAGCTGCAGCCCAGGGAGTCTGAAGGGAAACAGCCACCCAGGAAGCAGGGAGGACGATGGTAGAGTTACGCGAAGCGTCAAGAATATGTTGGGCTCCTCTGGGATCGAGAGGTCGAGGATGACCTTCTCCTCGGCCTGCAGCTCGCCCAGCGCCTCCAGCAGGAAGCCCGCCAGCAGCCGCTCGCAGGCCTCCTTCTGTCTGGCGTCGGGCTTCACCTCGACCTGCAGGCAGGCCGCCAGGCCCTTGTGGATCACCCGGCGGGCAAATTCGAACTGCTGCCTCACGGCAGCACGGATGCCCTTCCTGTCGGCGCCGCCGATTGTGCACCGCGTCTTCACGGCGAACACCTGTGCATTCACCGCGTCGTCGAGCAGGGCGTCCGCATTGTCTGGGACCTCCATCAGCTGAACGCCCTTCTTCATGGGGCCCAAGGCGTGGCTGAACCTGAGGATGGGCACCACCTGCTTCTTCCCCCAGAGGTAGGCGGGCAGCGGCATCCCGTCTATCGAGCACTTCAGCGACTCGATACGAATCACAGCTCCGATGATCCGCGATCCGTCAAAAGCCTCGTCCGTCACCACCCGAGTGCGCAGGCTGGACAGCCACTGCTCAAGCTGGTCCGCAACGGCCGACTCCGCTCCGTGGTGCCCGTATCGCTCCAGGGCGTCGGGGACGTAGGCGCTCGCAGGGTCCAGGCCGACGATGAAGCCGTTGTGGTTGACGAGCTTGTTGAACTGGCCCTTGTTGAAGCTGCCAGGGGGTCTGCGCTGGGCGAGGGGGGAAGATGGCAAAGCTTCTCGAGCCGCGTCCAGCCGTGGCGACGAGGGGATCCATTTCTCCCCTCTGTGTGGTAGCCGGGACCACTCCAAACATATGGACAATATATTCGAGCCGTTACACACTCGAGGGGGATTATGATCAGCCCACGCCCCCAAAACAAATGTTGGTCTCGATATGGGTGATAATTCCAGGGTTCGGTTATTCGTGTCCACTCAAGCCCATTGCCGCGCCCTCAGTGTTAATGTGGGGGTTCGGGGGGGCATCTTGCGCCGCAGGGTTCAAACTATTGTCCATGCACGGTCAGCCCCCCCAGCTGGCTCCGGTCCTCGAACGCCAAGTGGCGGTCACAACTGGCCTGCGAGTCGAACGCGCCCGGCGACCGCATCGACGGCAGCCTCTTCGGACTCCTCGTCGAAGAGGCCAACGGCGGCTCCTCCTCGTCCGCGGGGGCTGGCGCCGACTCGTCCACGGGGGGTTCGGGCTCCGGCCCCTCGATGATGGGGAGGAAGAGCAGGATGAGGAGACTGCTGAAGAGGCAGTGGGGGAGAAGGAAGAGGAGGCGAAGGAGGAGGGTGATGAGGAGGGTGAAGAAGAGCAGGAGGAGGGAGAGGATGAGGGCGAGGAAGAAAAGGATTGCTTCTGCGGCTAGACAAGTTGAACCTACACAAAGCATAGCGGAAGCGGAAGAAAAGATGAGGGAGGAGGGAGGAGGGAGATTGATTGAGCAGGCCCCTCGACAGTGGTACCGTTTGGCCTGGGCCATTGGGGGATCGATCAAATTGGGGAGACCGAAAAATTGAAGTTGGGGGTCGAGAAAGGATATCGGACCTACCCAACAATACGATCAGGGAAAAGGAGCTGAGGTAGTCGCACTGATCAAAGCACAGTCCAATCCATTTCGTGTAACCAATAGTTTGTCTCTTAGATTTGGGGGTTCTCCATTGTTGCATTCTGTAATCCACCCAATGCCTAGCAGAATCCGCCCACCCAATCAATACAAACGTGTTTCCAGTCAGCACCGTAGAACACAAAGACAGAATACCCCCACCTCCAAACCTCAATTCTGCGCCTCCGGCCTGGGTTACCCGTGCGCGACATACTGGCGGCTCTTGAAGCGCAGGGCCCAGAGACACTCGTAGACGGCGAATGGATCTGCATGCGGGCGACGTGACCCGCCCAGCGATGAGTCTGAAACGATACCGGTCGGTCCCAGGTCACAACCACGTGCGTCAGAACGGCACTTTGATCTTCCGATCGACCCGAATCTGGAAGCCCTGGATGGATTCGTCAGGAGCGTTTCGATGGCCTGACTGACATCTGCCGAAGCATTCCGCAGCGCATCACTCGAATGTGCGAGAGATACCTCCTAGTACACACGAGGGAGCCCGCGCAATAAAATAGCCGAGGCTTTGACCATGCTCTGGAGCAGCTGCGGTCCGCGGGCCAGCTTCCTTTGCTTGGCGCGCAGCATGGACCGACGGCGAATAAACGCTGCCCAACCACGGTTCAACAGTCTCTGCACAGCGACAATCGAATTAGTGCCAATGGAGACCCAAGCTCCCAGACACCGAAATCCTTCGCATTTCGGGATACGTTTCAGGTTTTTACCTACCAGGAAGATACAACCGGCATTGTCGGCGGCAGTCGCCACCGAGTGACAACCGCGCACAAACGCGATACAGCACAGTCCTCGGGTCCTCGCACCGCTTCATGTCAAAGTTCAAACATCTAGGTAAGCATCCTGGAACTCGTAGCATCGATGAAGTAGTTGCCCGGAAAAACCATAACCGGGAGCCTCTTGTGAAGCCAGTTTGAATACTCAGTTGGAGCACATCAGCGGCCTGTAGAGGGCACCCCCGCCCACTGTCGACACACTGCCGAACCAATATTTCGACGGTGTCGTCGAGGTAGCGAGCATACTCGCGCGGGGCCTCAGGTCACCTTGCAGCATAGCCCGACCACGCCGGATGACATCGCGGGCTCTAGACCAGCCACGAGAACACTTGAAACCCCGCGGCACAATCCGCGGAACAATCCGACGGGCGCGGGCCCCGACCCGGCGATCGCGGCCAACCGCGTCGAAGGCTTTGCGCGGGCCCCCCACGCCTGAGAACAGCGTCTGGGCAAACCCATTTGCACGCTCCACGAGCAGTCTCGTGGCAGATACAATTTCGTATACTTGATAGAGCTTCCTCTCGGCAAAGTGATGCTCGGTAAATGGGCGGCCATGCAGCCCCGAGAGATGCCTCGAAACCATGGAGTAGGGCTTACAGAACACTGATTACTATTGTTATATATACACATATATATCTATATATATACACCTACATACATACATACATACATACATACATACATACATACATACATACATACATACATACATACATACATGCATGCATACATACATCTATACATAAATACATACATACATACATATATATACAATAGAAACAACTGACATTCTTCGCCCCCCAGAATTTGGCGATCAACAAGACCTGGTGCCTGTCCCAAACGGGCTCGATTTCCTCCGCGGGCCGGTCTAGCAGCCTAAGAATATGCATCTCAGCCAGGAGGCCAAGCAATCGTCCGACAAAGCGCCCACCATCTCGCAAACCAACATATCACCCTTAGCACGCGCCTTACCCGGCCCCATCTCCTACAGCGGAGCCCCAGCAAGCGAGCAACCAAAGGCGGCGGCGGCTCAAGGTCGGCACGCGACAACCTCCGACGCGCCCGCGCAGGCACCGGCGCCGCCGTCGGATCCGAGAGCAATGTAGTTTGAAGACCGTGAGCCACCCGTCGCATCTCGTCGCGCCCCCCCCCGCACCCCGCCGCACCTCGACCTGCCCCGCCGCCCGTCCGGTCGTCACCGAGCCCGGCTCCTCTTCCAGAGCCGCGGTAAGCTTCAGGCCCTGCCGATGGCAAGCGAGAGCACGATGCTCCTGCACAAAAGCCCGACCTACCTGGAGTCGCGAAGATGAGCCTCCCCGCTCCCCTCGTGCTCAGGAGATGTTGGACCAACGGAACCACGGGGCGGCCATCGGGGGGCGTGGGCGGCGCGGGTCGTCGAGGTTGTTCCGCGACGAAACGCCGCAGTCGCCGCCGCATGCGAAACGCAAAGACGACCTCCTCGGCAAAGGGTCCCCCTCTCCATGTCTCCGGACCAAGGCTGCAGCGCATCTGTAAACCCCCCTCTCGGGTCGACCCGAGCACCTTGTCTTGTCTTGCGAAGTCAGCGCAGACCAAAAAACACTGCCGGGGCGGCGACTGGAAGCGCGCAAACGGGGGGGACAGCGGGAAAAAAGGGAGAGCAGATGGGAAGAGGGGGGGCAGATGGGACGAGCGGCGAGACAGCGGGAAGAGGGGGAGAAGATGGGAACAGAAATTCTTCGATGGGCATGCCCTTCGCGCGCAGGCGCTGCACGGCAGGACAAATCGTGTCCGCGATGCAAACGAAAGGTCGATAAACGCGTCGTTCTTACTTGGCGAGTGCACTGGGAGCGCCTCCGTCTGCGGCGAGATAGACAGCGAGTTCGTTTCCCTGACTGCCCCCGCGACCCCCCGCCCACTGAGCTCGGACGGCGCGCACTCGCTTCGCGCGCGGCCACAGAAGAGCAAGGGCGGCAGACATGAAAGAGCGGCGGATGGGAGAAAAATTGAAACTCGAGGAGACCGAGAAAGCCCCTCCATCGCCGCACCACGCGGCAAAATCCCAGGGCGAGCACTGAACGCCAGACCAAGTAACCAGAGACAGAGTTCGATTCCCCCATCAAACTCAGCCACGCGAGTTGCCTGTCGCACCGCACCGATGCCCCGCGGGTCGCCGATGTCCAACGCCACAGCACCGCAACGAACTTTGAAATGCCCGCCCGGGACAATTCCAGAATCAACGCTGGCGCCGTGGCCCTGGACATCAATGCCCACGGCCTCGTCGCACTGCCCCCCCATGGAATGGCGCTCGAGGGCCCACCTCGGGAGCGCCGAAAGAAAAATGAATGCAGCGCCGCGGGGCGGATCGCGAGCGCGGGCCTCGGGGCCCCCGGAGAAACAGATGCGGCAGGCGACACTCTTACTTGCGCAAGTCTTCCTGGCGACGGCAGCGCGCGCAGACTGAGGCGAGCTAGCGGGAGCAAACGCACGGTCGCTCCGCTGAGGCTCGACCTGATAACATTATAAAATGAGCACTGCCGGCCCAGCCCCCCCCCCCCCCGCACATGAGCGGCCGCGGGGAGATTCGATAAGAAACTCTCGCACCCGGTGACACTTCCACCCCGCGACCTGCACCGCGAATGGACCCGCGCACCTTGCGCCCCGAGCTCCCCGCGGAATCGCGAGCCCTGAAACGGCCAGACCCCGCGGCCCCAAGGCGCATGCTCGACAAGACCCCGCAGGCCGCATGCTCGACAAGACCCCGCACACCATCAATTTCTCTGCAAGTGCAAGCGCGCGAATCTGAAGGCTCGAGGCGGTTGCAAATCAGCCAGGCGGGGCCGGGGGCGCCGGAGAGGCAAGAGATGGCGACGGCAGACGCGGCGAAAATAAGCTGACTACCCACGCAGGCCCTGCACCCACAGTGGACGACAATCGCATGTCCCCGCGAAGTCCCAACGACGGAGGACCACGGGAAACAACGTGGCGAGGCCCGCCGACAGCGGCATCACATTGCACACTGGCGTAATTACCCCTGGATAGACAACATGCCCCACCTGAATTCTCGTTCGAATCGATGAACGGAACGCCCTGGGCACTCCATCCCGCTTTCACAAAGTCCACCCTGGAATCGAATTCACCCCCGGCCTCTCTAGGCCTGATCTCGCGCAGGTCAGGAACCGATCGGGGGATCGCTGATCTTGTGGATACGCCCCCTGAGCTCGCGCGGGGGCCGCGAGGCGGCCGGCGCCTGCTGGGCAGTCGGGGCGGCGCGAAGATTGAAAACACGGAAAGCACGCATGCAGAACCAAAGGGGGACATCACACTAACACTTAAGTACGCATTTGCGTAGTCCGACAGCGCTGCAAAGGTCTTTGGTGGAGTCCACAGATTTCTCAAGCTGGTCAGCGACCATGGAGGGGTCGCGCGTCTTTGATGCCTCGATCAGAACACCTCGAGCGCGCTTGCATCTGGTAACGCAGGCTATCTCAAAAATGCGCTGATCAATGGCACGCCAAGGATCACTTACGTTGGCTGGATCAAAAGTACGAGAAGGACCACCTCTAGAAGCAAGCCGACCCGCGACCTTCCGGCCCTTCACGCCTTTCAAGAAAATCCACCTATGATTGCCGGAAGGGAGCTCGATCTTGCATCTCTCAGCGCACCCGCCCACCGCGAAAACCTGGGAGATCGCCGCACTCTGGACTGAGCAAACGATGGGCGCCTAGGTTCGCGGCGGGGCAAACCCGCAGTTATGTTCCTTCTCCAGAAGCGAATCCACCAACGCATTTCGTCTTCGGTTTGCCGACGGGGAGCCGCGCCGACGCATTGGAGATC